AACTGAGGCTTAGGCGCGTTACTAAACTCATATATATATATATATATATATATATATATATATATATATATATACATATACACACACTATTATATAAAAGTGATCAGTATATATTTTTGTTTTTCAATTTTATCTTGTAATAAGTATATATTTTTTAAATTGAAATAATCATGATACTCTTTAAATTGTAGTTTTTTTAATTTACCCATTTTTTAATTTAATATTTTTTTAACTTAACAACTTTTAAGTTAAAATAACTATTTATAATAAAAATATTAGTTACAAAAGATATTTAATATAAACTTGTAAAAATTATTTATTTTTATAATTAAAATTTTATTATTTTTGTTATCATAAAAAATATTAATATATATAAGTTTCACCACTACAACTAATAATAATAATAATAATAATAATAATAATAATAATAAAAGATAGACTTAAATTGTTAACTATCATTAATAAAAGTGAAGCTTTAGAGTAGCCGTTGTTTAAATCTCACAAATTTAATAGACATAATTATATTAATATATAATTAAATTTTTCGTATTAGTATTATTTATTATAGAGTTTAAAATTTTGATATGTTTCACACTCGCAGACTTTTATTTATTTTTTTGTACAAAATTTTTAATTTACAATAGGCTAGATTAAATTTAATTAATGAATAATTAAATAGTTGGCATTAATTATATTTATATATAAATTTACTGATTAAATAATTACGATAATTTTAGTACAGTATTGAGTAGCACTATTTTTTACTATATAATTTACTTTAAAATTAATAACTAAGTATTAAATAAACAATAGATCACACACACACACATATATATATATATATAGAGAGAGAGAGACATTATTTAATTTAATTATATTCATTTATAGAGTAACATGTTTGTTTTTATTAAAAATAATTATAAATAAATTACAATAACTATAACAATATTATTATTATTATTATTATTTTTTTTACCGATTGTTAGTTTTTTTTCTTAAATATTTATAATAATAACTTGAATAACACTTTTCTTAATTTTATTTTCTATGAACTGTCAAGTGGGACCTTTATGGTGACTTTTTCATAAGCTCTGTATTCATAATTAATTTTTTATTTTGGAAAGTCTACAAAGACTTAATAAATAAATGACAAAAAAAATCATGCATAATAAATTTTATATTTTTACATTTGTGAATATAAATAGCATATTAATTACAACTGAAAAAGAAATATGGTATAAAAATATTATAAATTTATTTTCTTAAAACTTAAAATAAAGAAAAAATGATATCAATTTTTATGTAGGTTGTACTTACTTTTTTGAACAATTGATAATACATATTTTTTATTTTGAAATAACGATCTTGAAAATACTACTCTTCATCCTGCTTTTATTCTTCAATTTAATATTTTAAAAATAAATTTATCTTTAACATCTAAATTAGTGAAAATTCGAAAAATAAAAATACAATGACTTAAAATTACAAATTGTATTATTATTGTTATTATTTATAATAATATTATATTACATTTTTACATTTATTTGAAACAAAATATTCGGATAAAATGGTTATAAAAGTGTAAACTTTTGCATTTTTTCAAAAAAGAAGAAAGAAAAATGTAAAAAATGATAATGTCAAATGATGAAAAATTTAGGTGTATCAAATAATTATTTTATGTAAAAGTGTATCATAATATTATTACTCATTTAATTATATCATATTTAACACAATAATGGTACATGACACACCTTTTTCTTCATTTGACACATAATACAAAAATAAAATGGTTATAAATGCATAAATTTTTGTAATTAAAAGAAAATAGTAAAAAATAATAATTATAGTATCAAATAAATATAAAAATTTAAATATCTCAAAATAATATTTTTCTATATAACAATGTTGAATGAGTACTTTTTATTGTATCATATAAGCTAATTCTTTTAGAACCCTCATAAATATAAACAAAGACATGACTACATTCTTTTTGACCGACACAGTTTCATATTAAATGAACATGAATGTTGGCATTGGTTACCAAAAATAAAGTGTTGTTTGGAAGAAAAGAAACGAAAATGGATGTTTCCGAGTGCGAGTCCCTTCAGAAAGTGAAAGCAAAGGAACCAAACAAGGTTGGTTCTGAAAACGGCATCGTTTTGATGAAGGAAGAAGATGTTGAGTGGGGTCCACAACCGTTCATGAAGAAGATATTGAAAATGGTGGAAGATGAGAGCTCGAACCCAATTGTATCGTGGGGTGAAGGGCGTTGTAGTTTCGTGATTTGGGATTCTGCTAAGTTCAGTAAAACCATTCTTCCAAACTACTTCAAGCACAGTAACTTCTCTAGCTTCCTTCGCCAACTTAACAACTATGTCAGTGTTCTCTGATCTCTTATTGCATTTTTGCATGCCATGTTGAATTCACTGTGTATTTCTTAATTTCTTCACGCAGGGGTTTAAGAAGGTTAATCCAAAGCGTTGGGAGTTTGCATGTGAAGGTTTTCAACCAGGAAAAAGGCATTTACTGAAGCATATCGTGAGAAGAGGAAGAAAGAATAAGTTGTGTAATGAACAACTTCGAGGTGAAGTTGAGGAGCTGAAGAAGGAGAAGAACGTGTTAGCACTGGAAATTCTAAAGCTCACACAACGGCTTAGGGATTCACAGGTTCAACTTAACAATTTTGAAGAACGGCTTCGGTATGTTGAGTTGAAGCAATATCAGATGTTGGATTTCTTCAGCAGAATGGTCCAAGTGCCTGGTTTTGTTGAGCAATTGGTTCACAAGATTCAGCAGAAAGATGGGGTTGATGGGGCAGACATGGTTATGAGATGCAAATTTTTGGGACCTCAGTACTATTTGAGCTTCTCTAATAAGGGCACTAACACTAGCTCAAACTTTGGTTATTATAGACAGCAAGGTTTTGAACAAAATGGTATCACCAGCTTCTGTCCTGTGAAAGATGATTCATACATATCTACACAAGGGCCGAGGACTGATGGTTATGATGTGTCACATGCTTATGATGGTGTGTTAGAAGAATTACTAAGTGAGAATTTTGGTGAGGATGTAAATGTAAGTGTGAATGAGTCAAATATATATCTTGAGTTGGAGAGTTTGATTGGATCCACAAGTGGATTGATGGGGTGAATTAGTTTACTGAACATCTCTTGAGTGTTTACAGAGTGATATTGTATGCATAAATAAGAAATACAAAACATAAAAGGCAATGCTTCATATTATGTAAAATCAATGCTTCATTGGACTTTGAAGAGTTTGGTGAAGTCCTTTCACATGCACTGTGTTAAGATCATGCAGCAATGTTCATACTCTGAAATATTCATTTACAAAGTTGTAGATAAGAGTGACGAAAAGGGCATTCAGTCTTCAATTTTAAGACCCACCCAGATGTTGATTCAATTGGGTTGGTGAAAATTCACAAGCTCAATTGTTTTACATTGTCACACACTGACATGGTGGTACACTGTTGTTCAATCAGAAACTGTACTATATTAATGATAATTTTTTATTGGTTGATAAAATACGTTTTTGCAACTTAGAAATTAAACTCATTGAAGAATTTGTAATGTGAGAAAATAGCTACCTCTATTTTCAAGGTACAACAATTTCATGCGCAAATCATCCCCTGCCAAAGCAAGAGAAAGTGATGCCTCTGAGCTTGCTCCAATATCTCTATGCACAATCGGTCATTGCATGACACCTTTCCTTCTTCAGTGGCATTGTAATAATCCAAAGCCTTGGTGAGACGCTTTGAAATCTGAAGGGCATTTCTACCATCCAAAGTGAGAAAAGAAGAGAGAAACTATAATATTAGGCTCTTTTCTCATTGCAGCAACATGTAAAACACTATAGCCCCTATGGTTTTTGTGGTTGACATCAGCAAGTCCAAGGTCAAGAAGCTCGGAAGTGGTCTTCACATCACAGTATGCAACAGCATAATGAAGTGCATATGCATCATCAAGAGTGGTGTGCCCCTCTTTCAAAAGCTATCTTACCAATTCCACATCGTCTGAATCCAGAGCCCTGTGTATTCTGTTGACAAGTTTGTCAGGAAAATTGAAGTTTCTGGGCATGTACATGCCATGTTCTATTTGTTAATCCATGTTTGTTTCACCAAAGATTGAGGCAGCTCCTTTTCAAGAGTGGTGATATCAGCATCAGATTTAACCATCGTCTCAGTGCACCTTGCTAGCAGTCTATCACACATTTTGCCACATAAGTTTGCGACCAACAGAATCATCAAAATCTCATCTACCAACACCTTATTAAGAATGCGTAATAATAGATTGTCCTGTAAGAAAACAAAACTGTTCTTGAAGCGTGTACAAAATGAATTATATATAGATTTCAGCATCAAATTTCCTTGCAAATTATATATTCCTTTTCATCTTTTATGATGGTTATTAACCACTGCTATATATTAATATTATAATAACATTCAAAATATACCGCGAATAGAATAAGTCCTCAAGAACACAGTAATCTGAGAAATTTTGTTCGTGATTTTGTTAACTTTTCTAAAACTTTTCGTGTAAAGACTGATTGAGATAAAGCCATTGTGAAAATTCATTAAAAAGGAATGGCCAAGAAGAAACTCAGACGAGATGAAAGAGAAAGTTCATCATAACAATGATATATAAATTCAATTAGAATTCTCATAGCTGCTTCACACTGTTAATAATTGAATCAAAATTAAACTCCACACGTATCTATCATTCTCAGAAAGACAAATGATGGAGAAAAAAGTCAATCCCACCCTAGAGAGAGAGAGAGAGAGAGGTTAAGGAAGAAGGAAGAGCTATGCATAATATCTTACCAGGAGCATGAAGTTGGTATACAAGGTCAGAAGAGAGATAATCTACTGCAGAGGTTGTTCATTTGCTTACGTAAATTGAGAAGATTTTTCTCAAAATAAACTCAATTTAAATACAATTTACTCAAATAAAGTCAAACGATTTACTCATTGATTACATTTATATTTTTGAAAAATCGATTTTTTAAGAGTCAAATTTTCAATATCAGATAGAGACCTGAAATTGATTCAATCCGGTTTACTTAAAAGTATTTTGTTAATTTCAATATATTTAATATATTTATTAATTTAATAAATAATTATAATAAAAACTGTATAAAAATATAGAAGTAATATAAATTTTTTTAATGAATTATGGACCAATTAATTTTAATCCAGTTTGAATCGTTTAATCCAATGAGTAAACTAAATTTAATTAAACTTGCATTTAGTAGTATACTAATTAACATTAATATGAATCAAATAATTGTATTACATCCTCATCTAAATGTTAATTATTTATTATTACAATTCAACTAGTAATCTAGTATTCAAATTTAAATATATTATGCTAGTTAATTAAAAAAATACCCCATCGAAAGTTCACCTTGACTTAAATATATTGAATAAGCCCGTTCTCCCTTATGCAGAAAATTAAAGAAATTATTTGTGCGAATTTCAGAATTTTCTCTTTAGTGAGTATACAATTTTTTTTTTCTTATTTTTCTTAGTAAAACAAAAAATTATTTTTCTTGTATGTACTAGTCTAAGTGAAATAAGTATAAGCCTTGGTGACTTAAAATAAAATTATACATGTTAAAAATTGTTATATATATTAAAAATATTATTTTTTATTTAATCAAAATTTAAATAAGACATAAATTTGAATGTTTTCAGCTGCATTCACATAAAAACAATTATCTAGTGCTCAAAATAATTTATATAATTTTCAAAATATCTTATTATTTAAATTTTATCGTTTCATTTCTAATTTATTAATTAGCTTACAACTTATTTTAAATTTCTTTTAACTCACCAGTCAACTCGTTTATTTTCTATTTAATAATCCATCTGATAAATTAAAAAATAATCAAAATAGAAGAAACTAGTTAAAGATAAAAAAAGTTTATTTAGGTTTAAGTAAAAATATATTTAAACAATTTTAATAAAAGTTATGAGCTAACGTGTTAACCAATCAATTTTTGGTGAGTTAAACTATATTGTAAAATTTATAATTTATAAAAAAAAATAAATCAAATTGAATTATCCCTTTTTTGACTAAATTTATAACAAGTCAACTCGTATAAACCAGATTGACTATTAACATTTTTATTTATATTATATTATATTTTTTATATTATATTATATTATTATTCTATATTATTTTCACGAGTTTTAAATGACATTATCTTGAATATTACATAAAAGAAAAAAAAACTTTATAATAATAAATGAAGACAACATTTAAATATCCAAATCATCTTCGAAAATCATTAATTCATGCATTTTGATAAATATTTTGATGAAACACATTGTATTAGTGAAATACTGTTTTCAGTTCAAGGAAAATATATTTAAAACTAAATGTATTATAAAACACAAGTTAGTGTAGCAAATTCTATCAACTAGAAAAATATCAATTATAGTTAGAACTCTAATACAAAATAAAAGATTGAGACACTATTTATAATTATTTTATTCAAAACATCTATGTATAGAAGACTTGTGATCATGTCAACCCAATTCATACGCGAAGTCTTTGCCAAAATTCTTATAAGTGATAGATTATAGAAATATCTTACTAAACAATAAAGAAAATGTTTTATGTTTGTAAATATTTACTTTACGAAGTATTTTTTTTTTTTGGAGAATTATTGTTTACATATGTTTTCTTTAGAGTGTTATCTTTGTAATCTTATAATAACTCTTTTGTTTTTAGTTAGAAATGACAATTAAATAAAACTTATAAAAGTTCTAAATGGTTTCGTTAAAAAAAAAACTTTGTTTTATACTATAACTATTCTTAAATATGTGTTTTGAATGTTACTTTCACGAGGGAATAAGTGAAGGTTATTGTACTTATTCTCTTTTCATTATATTTATTTTTATGTATATTATTTTACCTATAAATATAAATACAATGTATCCAAGCAAAAACTACAACAAAACACAATAATTTTCTTTAATTTTTTTATTTTTTGTTCTAAATTATCTTTTAAAAATATTAGGATTTATAAAATGAAAAGATCATTCCTTATATACAATCAATCTGGTCAGTTATTATCTTGAAAGAAAATATTTATTACTTTGTCTTGCTTGGATACTAGATTATTTATCTCTAAGAAGAATGTTATATATGTCTTAATATTAATGATTTATAATCTCTTCTATATTAACAATTTCTTTTATTATATTATTATTTCTCACAAAATTTGTGGGTAGACTTAATCTATGTGATGATGGATTTAAGGTTAACAAGAAATCTACCTGGGTTTATTGAGAGAAATCTACTTGGGTTTATTGAGAAAGTGTTGAGTTGGTTTTATCGAATAGAAAAAATATATGTTAACATAATATTTTGACACAGCATATAACGTGCGTTAACCTATTTTAATTTAATAAAAGGACTAGGATATTTTAACAACTTTTTTTAACAACTTTTTTATAATAGACTATGTGTCACTATTTTATTGGTCTGTATATTTGAAAGGAACCAATCACAAACTATTACATATGTTGTTGTAAAAAAGTTGTAAAAAAATTGTTAATCCTTAATAAAAAAATTATATGTATTATTTTAAATTTAATAAAAAATTAAAAGTATTATATTAAAATGTTGTGAAAATTCTGTATTCACATGTTATTGTCCGAATAGAAAAAAATGAATAACATTGGTTGTTGGGAAAGCGGAAACGACCAAAAGCATCAAAATCCAGAGAAAATTCATTTACTCAAACGATTTGTTGGATTGAGATGCAAACCTTTCATCCACACACACAAAAATTGCATCAACCTCTTAACTCTTTTTTTATAAGCAATAAATAGATAAATATGGTAACCCATTGCTATCAAGGCCCCCTAATTTCCAATTTTTTGTTGTTGTACTTTTAACTATTTGTTATAGTGGGCCAATGGCCCAACCTATTTCACTCACTATCCATGATGGGTGATACCTTCACTAATCCATCTAACTAACCCAATATTCAAATTCTATTATGCGTTCTAATTGAATAAAATTAAAATTTTAATAAATAAATATATTAAATATATTTTTAGTCTTTAAAATTGGATGTAAAACTAAAAGTAGTCATTTTCTTAAAGTTTGGTATAATTTGCT